GTGCTTCTTGTGTATGCATTGCTGTGTGTGTGTGGGTGTGTGTGTGGATGTCCTGTGGTGGTTACTTTAGTTATATACAGAGTTATTGGTGAGTTGCCTATATAGTTAGTACTTAGGTTCAATGTTAACTTCGAGCCCCGATCTGCATGATCTACCCTTACGTGACTATAGCTCCTTCGCAAAGGATCTGTTTTCCATTGCCGTGGACACACTGCGAAATTTGTTTGCTCTTAACTAGTTCGTATATCATTATACTCGTTCCCATATCATATATAGATGATACATATATGTGTATATTTTCTATATGTTCTATTTGCATTTCATTTCGTCTTATTTGTGGCAGTATTTAAATTACACGGTTTCTTCTCGATTACCTAAATTAACTGCTTAACTCTTTGTATCAAGCACACTAAACATTTAGCTAGAAACCTAGGGAAAACTTGAACAGAATCGATTCGAAAAGGCAAATTCAAAATGTTTGACATTACTAGCATAATATACAGATAGTCGCTAAATTCCATTTAATTTACGCTTTAATATTTATGAATCAATGTTGAAATGAACTGTACAACTATAGGTCCGACCGATCGTGAGTGGGATCGACAGATCGACAGATCGACAGACCGACTGATTGAGTGATTGAATGAACGATTGTTTGTCTGTTTGCTTGTTTGTTTGGGCGGTGCGTGTGTTTGTGTGTGTGCAGGACGAAGGACCGGCACACCCACACGCCCACAGACCCACACAGAGCCAAACCTATTTGTTTATAACCTAAAAACACAACCAATGAGAGCATATACACTTCTATGTATTTGACGTTAATTCGATTTTGTTTTTCTCGAGTATCTTCATTTTTCCTTTTTGTGTTTTGCATTATTTGGTAAAACGAGTTTTCATTTATTTCTCTATTTATTTAGTTTTTTGTTTTTAGTTTGGCTTTAGCGTGTCGATTTCCCAAGTGAAACAATTTACAAAAATGGTTTTTGTTGAAATGAATTTCATCTAATTGTTCTTCCACGCTTCTCGCACTTTTTGTATGTGTGTTTTTTTTTCTCTTTTTGCATTTTTATATTTGCATAGTGACATTAGGTTTAAATATGCATAAATGTTTTATAGGGGTTTTACTCATTTAGTTTATTTTATTCACAGAAAAGTTACGCCATTTACTTGTCATTAGTTCTTTGTTTTCATTTCGCTTTGCTGCGTTTAAATATATTTTAATAGTTGATTGTCTAAAACTATAACAAAAGATTTGTTAAGCTGGAAATCTGTACAAAATAGTTTAAAATTAAGAAGCTTACAGTAAATAGTCGATTCAACAATTTTTATGCATTTAAACAAAACTTATATCAGCACACTGAAATAATTTTAATAATTCCTATTGAACAAACATATTTAAAGCTTAAGCAAATGTTGATTTAAATGTATATAATATTTACAAGTCACACCAAAAATGGCTGATATTTTTTGCCTATGATTCTGAAGTATGTAAGACCTGAACAAAATCAATAACTATTATTATTGTACAAAATATATTTCATTTTTCCATTTGGTAATACCGGCATGTCCTTTTGCATTAAACCATATCTTTTCCTTTTTTTGTAATTCAATTTAGTCCTCTATGAATAATTTTTTGCAATCAGTTTTTTGCGTATTTTCCTTGTGTCAGTGGTTATTCGGTTTTGCATTTTAAAAGGTGTCATGTGTTGTGTTCCATATTCTATGTATTTATGTGTGTGTTTTTTTTCTATATATACTTGATTTTTTTTCAGACTTTTTTATTTTATGCTTTTCGATACGGAAGTCGAGAATGTTGTCAAATAGTTTACGCCCTTATTTTCATTTTAGTTAGCAACTGTGTGTGTCAATTTTTTGTATTTTATATTTTATAAGCTCAGTTTAATACTTTCAATATATGTTGCACAATTGTATTTCCTGTTTGTGAAATAAATGAATTGGTATTTTTGTGGATTTTGTTGCTGCTTTTTGCATTGTTCATTTAACCGATTTAATTTAAATGTGACATTGGTTTCGTTCTAAGTTTAGTCCTCGCATTTGTATTTAATTACTTGATTTATGATATTCCGACGTTTATTTTATAGGCTTTATAATACGTTTAGTTTTAATAGCTAGATATTTAAAAAATGTTAACTGTTGATTTTATGCACTTTACATTTTAATACACCCAAAACGGCATCCGCTATTTAGATTTTCCTGTTTAGTTTTCCTCTTTTTTTTAATCTTTTTTTTTTATCGCTATCGTGTGATTGTGTGTGTGTCATCTTTGGCTGTGTGCATTGGGATGAAATATTTGATTATAAAAACATGAAAATTTAAATTTTCCCACCCAGTTCTCTCGAGCATTTCACCCAAAACAAGTTTGAAATTTATATATTTTCTAGCCGAGCTGTGGCCGCTTTTTCTGTGTGCTTTAACAGTGCCACATTCGTTGGCTTCGAAAACTATTTTAATTAATCCACACTCACAAATGTTGAATATTTTCGATTAGGAATTTTAATTAAACTTTTGCCGCCTCGCACGCACAACTCTGCTGACGCAGCAACAGAAGCTGCAACATTCAGGCTCTTCGCCTGGCAACAATGCGCAACACCCATGCCGCTCGACAACCCTGGCAGCGTGCTCAGGGTTGTCGCTGTCGCTTGTCGCGACATTCTTTGCTAATAGTTTCCACAGATTTCACTTATGCTTGGCAAGTTATTGTGGCTGGAATGTGATTACACTGAGATAATTGAAAAGACTCTAACACAATTTCGGAATTTAGTTTTATTTCCTTTCACGCATAATAAGAAATGTTTTGAGCCTTTGATTTTAAATACTCAACAATTGTAAGAGAAAATCAGATTGAATCTAATATTTCTGAAATCATTTTGAACCTCAAAACCCTTTGCAAATACTTTTGTTTTCAGTGCACCTCCAATCGCGTGTGTGTAAGTATTTGTTTACTTTTGGCTTTTTATTAACTCGCACACAGCCTCTTATGCACATAGCATTGCAAATTGCATTCCGCACTTAATTTGTTGCATGCCTTGCGGCGCCGCCACGCCCCCTTTTGCCACAACCCCGCCCCTTTGGGCGTCGTCTCTGGCGAAAAAGCAACGGTGGCTCGTGCATTTGCTTAATGTTTACTGTTCTTGTTGCTCCAGCGGCAGAAAGTTTTGCAAAATCAATTAAAAATGCAAAGGCATAAATGAGGGGCGAATGGGCGGGTGGGCGTGGCAGTCAACCTTGTGGCAAGTTTCGTTTGCTTTGGCATTTAAATTGAAGGTGTTTTCTGTGTGCCACTCGAGCTGGGGCATTGGAATGGCCAGAAACCAGACCCCAGACCTCAGAAGGCAAAACTTGGAGCTCAGGACGGCACTCGCGTGGCCCGTTGAAAGTAATTAAAAACTTTTATTTTAAATTGAACTTGCCAAAGGTTTCTGAACGCTCCGTATGCTCCAATGAATGCATAATGAGTGCCGAGAACTACAAAGGAGCTGCTTATATAAACGGCAAGGATGGAGTGGTTGGGTGGGGAAAAACAATCAAAATCTAAATCGAAATCGAAATCAAGTGGAAATGGAATTCGTATTATACGCAATAATTTAATTGATTAAAATTGCTTTAAAGTAAACAAATAGCCATTCGCTTTAGTTATTGTTACTTGTTTTACGCCGTATCTGTGTGTTTGTGTGCGTGTTTTTAATTGAAATTGTTTTGTGTTTCGACTAGCTGCAATCCTATAAATACGTATACGTACTCTATATATATTTATATGTATGCTTGCACGATATAATATATATTTATGTTTGTGTGTGTTGCTTGCTCGTGTGGTTAGTAAAAATGTGTGACTTTAAAAATGTGACGACGACTCGCTTGTATCGACATTCAACTAAATTTATTTCAGAATTTCGCGCTTCTTACGAGCCGATTTGTCGGAACTCGTGTTGTTTTTAATATTAAATTTAATTCAATACTTGATTTGCTTAGCTACAACTAGTTACGACTTATTGGCTAATTAAATGTAGTTTATCGTATTTACTTCACTTATTTATGCTAAAAATAGATTGGAATTTTATGAGACTTAATTTAACCCATTCTGCGTGGGCCGCAATTCTTCAGTGTTTGTTTTTGCTCTGCTAAAAATAATGTGAAAAATATGCACAAATAAATAAACCATTAAAATTGATTTTCTTCTTCATATGTATATTGTGGCACGCACACACTCACACAGTCTCCTGCTGAAGCACCCACACTCACGCACTGAACACATGCAGTCTGATTTAAATTTAAAATGCAATTTTAAAACATTTTCATTTGTTTTTCTTCATTTTTGTTGCTTTGTTGTTGTGTGTTGTGTGGAACTTTAAAACTAAAAGATGTAACAAGGAACTTTTTGGCGCTCAAAAATACAATATAACTTACAAAACTTCATACGCTTTTTACAACACTGGTTCGGGAACCACCTAAACTCCATCGACCACACAATCATACATCAAGTACATCAAAAAACTTACAAACTAAGCTTCGCTACGCAGCGATCTTGTGGCTTGCTTCGCTGTCCAGCACTGTCACGGTTAATCAACACTACAACTCCATCAAATTACATTACATACATATTTTGATCAACTGCTCCAAAAACTTGCCTCCATTCGATTGTATCTCAATTCATTTCGCAATGTTCACTTCACTCGCCTCGCGCACATTTACGATGGGCTCCACGAGTCATCCGTTTCGTTGGTGCTGCCAACACTACTCACAATAACCTTTACAACACTGCCGATGACACTGCCACTGTCACTGGCGTTGCCCATGCTGATGCTGCTGCTGCTGCTGCTGCTGCTGCTACTGCTACTGCTGTTAGTGTTGTACAACGCCGAGGAAATACTCATGGTGTGGCTCATCGTATATTATCCACGATCATCGTCGCGAGCGGCGAACAGGGTCCGCAGCGAGCTGATGATTAGATTCCACCAGCCGGCCGCGAACCCAAGTGGTCGCTATAAGGTGTTCTCGCTGCCCATCTTGAGCAGCTCGAACTTCTTTTTGGCAATCTTCGAGTAGAGTATATCGATCGGCTGCGATTGGTCGTACAAGCTGGGCGCCTGCAGGATAATCAGCGCTGTTCCGACCACGCAAGCGATCGCGAAGATCCACAGAAACATACGATCCAATACCATGGCAACGTACTTCCAGTCCTCTTCCACCTGAAAGGCGTGGAAACAAAGTCAGGATGAGTAAGGATTTAATTTTAATCACTTATGATCACTTAAAAGTAAGTGGGTACTAATAAATAGCTAAATTTAAAGTATTTGTTTATATACAAATAAGAAACGACAGTCAGTAAAACTAATAAGTCTTTCACCGCTCCTAACCATCTTCATTAATCATTTTGCCATTCGAACAAAATGGTTTTGGCACATCCAAATCAGATTTGCGGTTCGGGCCTTGCAAGTTAAATTGAAATGTTCCGGAGCAAACATCGATTGCAACTCGAAGCTCACACTCACCGCACACTCCATCTGCACACACACACACACCCACACACAGACGATGTACACACACCACCCTAGCAACCAATTGCACACCCAGCAATTCGCCGACAAATGGCAAACTGCAGTGCAGGAACCGCATGTTGCGAACTCTTCGTATTTGCGCACAAACAACTCAATCACTCAACTCCAAACGGCGGCGACAGACCGATTGCCCTTCACTCGGCACCACCATGGTGCACCAGCACTACCAGCTCCACCAGTTCCGCCAGTTTCGCCAACGTGATCCCAAAAAGGATCCACCAGCACCACCCCACTCGTTTGCGATTCCTGATTAGAAAGGACGCAAGCAACGCGATTTAAACGGCTCTGGTTCGTTTTGGCCGGGCAGAAATGCATGATTTTTACGGTCCTAATGCGGGTTATCAGGAGCAGACATAAACACTGTACCAGACATGCTGGCCAGGTCTTTTCGGGTCTGGCTAGCAGCGGATCCGGTGCGCCTGTTCCAGCTGCGAGTGCCAGACAATGATTGCGGCTGATTGGCCTGCGACGGCGGGAGACTCGCCCGTTTTGCAATGCTGCGTGTTGCGGAGGTGGGGCTTGGATTATTGGATTAGTTTCGCAACATGGAAAATTAATAACATCGCGGTATTGCAATTGCGAATTGGGAATCCGCACTGGATTAGTTGAGTTATGGAGTGTAGAACTTCTGCCTTGCGACATTTATTAATTTTTTGAATTTCTACATCATCATCACATGAAAAATTAAAAAAAAAATGTAAAAAAAATATATTTCAAAATTTTTATGCAGATTTTTAGAGAATTGCGCCAGAAACATTTAGAGGTATGCCACTTCAAAATCCGATCAAGATTAGTTGAGTTATGGAGTGTAGAACTTCGGCCTTGGGACATTTATTAATTTTTTTGAATTTCTACATCATCATCACATGAAAAAATTAAAAAAAAATGTAAAAAAATATATATTTCAAAAATTTTATGCTGATTTTTAGAGAATTGCGCCAGAAGCATTTAGAGGTATGCCACTTCAAAATCCGATCAAGATTAGTTGAGTTATGGAGTGTAGAACTTCTGCCTTGTGACAATTCTTAATTTCTTTGAATTTCTACATCATCACATGAAAAAATTACAAAAAAATTAAAAAAAAATAAATTTCAAAATTTGAATGCAAATATTTAGAGAATTGCGCCACAAACATTTAGAGGTATGCCACTTCAAAATCCGATTAAGATCAGTTGAGTTATGGAGTGTAGAACTTCAGCCTTGGGACATATCTTGATTTTTGTGAATTTCTCCAACATTATAAAATCAAGGAAATGACAAAAAAATTGAAAAAAAATAAAATTCTATATTTGAATGCAGATTATTAGAGAATTGCGCCAGAACCATTTAGAGGTATGCCACTTCAAAATCCGATTAATATAGATTAAGTTATGGACTTTAGAACTTAAACAATTCTGAATTTTTTTGAATTTCTACATCATCACAAAAAAAATTAAAAAAAAAAATTTTTTTAATAAATTACAAAATTTGAGTTGCGCCAGAAACATTTATGATAAAATGTTGAAATAAACCAAAAGTAGATGAACATTTTTATGTAATTTAAGTTTAATTTAAGTTTAGAAAACAAAATGAGTATGGATACATAGTAGATACTCGTACTTACACTCTCAAACTTATCCTTGTTCTTCACGTGCTGCGCGATGAAGCGGGATCCCTCGATGGTCTTCTCCATTTCGCGGGCGTAGGGCTTCTCGAACGTGGGACTGAGATCGGCGGCGGCGGCGGCGGCGGCAGCGGCAGCGGCGGCTGCAGCGGCCGGACAGCAGCCGGGACTGATGTCTCCGTTGAGGCCCGACGGGCTGAACAGGTCGTCGTCGGCGCCCGGGAGTGGCAGTGAGGAGGGGAGCGGCGGTTCCGCAAAACAGTGGGCGCTAATCCCGCCCGCGGCGGCCAAGTCGAAGCGATGCGAAGCGGGTAGTGCTGGAAAAAAGATGAGAATATATATAAGTGTGCTGGAAGTAAGCAAATTCTTTAAAACCCTTAGCACGTACATTTCTTTTAACAAGAACAACCCTTTAGAATTGAAACTACTGTTGGTAAATAGAAAGTAAAGCCCCTTTTAAACTACACTTTCCATCTCTAACAGACGCTGCTTCTTGCGTAACTTTCTACAGATTCAAAGGCCCAATTTGGGATAGATTCTTTTTTCCGAGTGTTTGCCAGCATTAACAGCATTAGGCAAATAAAGTTGTAAATGCAATTTTCAACTTTTCTGCATTGTCTTCGCCGTCGCAATGCTCCTTGGCACAAAGTCCCCGAAGGAAGTGAGTGGACAAAGGACCCTCAACCTCGAGGGCGACACAACAGAAGCAGAGGAGCAGGACTTCAGGTCCGGGGATACAATAAGGAAACTCAATAAATAGTTTTCTGCATTCTGTTTTCCATTTATTTCGCTGGGCCATTTGAAAGTTTCAGGTCCTTTCTTTTAGGATTTCCCTTTCTTTTTCGCGCGCTTTGAAAGCCTCTTGAAGAAGTAGGAAATATTTAATTCTTTGACCGTGAGCGGAAAATTATTGCTTCTCGTGGCGTATACGCAATATTACGTATACGCCAAGTGTGCGCTTGATTAAAAAACTACTTCGTTACTGCTGACTCCATTTTAATGAGCCATCTAAATGCTGTCAGTTTGGGGCGACAAAATAGCATGAAAGGCATTTCCCAGAACTTATAATGCCGGGACGAAACTTTCCCTTTTGGACGGCGTCCTTGCAGATGCACTTGTTAATTGTCATAAATTATTTCGCCCCGCCCTCCGAAGACGGCATCATTATAATGTGGTGTGTCTGAATGCATATAATTTCCATGTTGTTGTGCATATTTAAAATGGAATATAAACTGGCAAGTTGCAAGTTTCCCGTCGCTCGCTGCATGCACCGTTGGTAACGTGCCCACTAAAGCCAGTTGAAAACATTCATAAATTTCCCAGCTGCAGGATGGGAAATTACAAGAAGCCCACGAATCCCAAGATGCCAAGTTCTACACAGAAAGTTTGCCTCAAGCGGAGCGGGAAAATGGGTGGAAAACTTTTGCTCCTTTTGAATCGTGGGGGAATCCCCCACGAATTCTGCACCCGCCAGAACGACCACCATTGTTATACGGAATTGGGTTTATGGATGGAATTGCGGTTCCTACCTGGAATGCCGTAGTCGCCGCTGAAACGCTTCGAATCGTAGTTGACAAACTTGTCCACATCCGGCGGCAGGTGATAGACATCGGTGAGCACCTCGGGCGGCTGATCCTCCTCGGGCTCCTCCTTCTTGGGCCGCTCGATGCAGAGCAGCTTGGGCAGGATCTGGATGAAGAGGCGCTGCACCCACGGCGCCATGCGATGCGTGACAGGGGATCTAAGCAGGCAGGACAAGAATACCCAAGGATTGAAATCAGAATCAATAAAATAAGAGATTTTTGTGTTGCCTCACCTAAAGTTCACATTGAGCACGGCGATGGTGACCACGACGGATAGCGTGACCAGCATCATGGTGAAGAGCAGATACTTTCCCAGCAGCGGCACCGTCAGCGAGGTGGGCGGAATGATCTCGGCCAGCAGGAGGAAGAACACGGTCAGCGAGAGCAGGATGCTGATGCAGAGCGAGATCTTCTCGCCAGAGTCGCTGGGCAGGTAGAAGACCAGAACGGACAGGAACGAGATGCCCACGCAGGGGATGATCAGGTTGACCGTGTAGAAGAGCGTCTTCCGGCGGAGCGTCAGGTTGAACACTATGTCCAGATACGGCTCCTCGCAGCAGCTGTAAAACTTCTCGTTCCGCACCGCCGGCACCCGCATGATGTCCCACTCCACGGAGATGTAGTAGTCCTGCAGGTCGATGCCCACCTCGATGTTGTCCGAGTCGGCGGTCTGCTTCAAGTGCCGCAAGTCGACCTGGAATGGGTTCGAGACATAACTTTGTATTTTTGTGCACTTAACTGTATATTTCGTTTACAAATTAGGTTTTAATTCCATAGCTTTGAGCTGATTACATCGATTCAAGTGCGAGGTAATCAATATGCAGGACCAGCTGCTCTTTCTTTAAACTTGCTGATTTATGGCCAGTAACTTTGGCAACTGCTGCACCTGTTCGCCTGTTCACCTCGATCCAACATCAAGCCAGGCCAATCATACATCTATTTATGCTGATTTGTTGGCCCATTTCCCCAGACGCAGTTTCCTCGGAAACATTTGGCCCAAGTGCCGCTCGCGGAATCAGAAAATCAGAGGTGATGGAAAAACGTACTTTCTGACAAATTTTTGACAATCGTCAATTGCTCGGAGAATCGTTTGCTGGGAATGGAGATGGGCATGGGCATGGGGATGGGGATGCGGCAGGTGAATGGTTCCTATTCCCGTTCCGGATCCTCACTCAGCGACAGATGGCAGGAATCGCGATAAGTTCGACTCACGTGCGAACCGAAACCGAAACACAAATGGCATTTGCGCTTGTAACCTTTATTTCATTTCCATTTGGCTTGATTTGTCATTTTGTTGTCTGTTGCTCATTTATCAATGTGCACTTGTAGTGAGTGTATTTTTTATAATAACAATTTATATTCTTCCTCTAATATAGAAGACACAGGCTGGCATTTCATTTAGTATACTGTCCTGGAAGTTTTTAAGTTAACATACGACTACATCTATCTACATCTATAACTCCTAATTCTGTGTGCCGAAGAGGTCGAAAGAAACAACTTTAAGGACATCTAGTCCTGCGAGACAGTCGTGATTAATACCTCGTCCTGCACTTGTGCTGACACTAAAAAAGGCCCAAAAAGCGATCCACAAATTTCGCATCCCATACGATTTGTAGGAAAGTCGAAAGTCAATGAAGCATGCTCGAAATTTGTGATGCGTAAAGGGGAGGAAAACGAAAATTTATATGTAGAATAATGTGCTGTCATTTTTCGATTTTTCCCCCAGCTTCCGATTTTCCTACGCTTTTGTTGTTGCCCATAATGAACACAATAACAACAGGAAAAGGCGCCATATAGCAATATAGCAGCGCAACAGTTGTTTTTCTCGAATCAATTTAGCCATACACTTGAAAAAAGCGAGGTTGAAAAAGGTATAACATACATTTTTAGTTATTTTAAACGGGATTAGACTTGGCTATTTGCTTAATTTAAAGTAGTTAAGAACAAGTTTTTTTAATATTTTTTCTTTGCATTAAAACTTGGGTTCAGTTCGCTTTTTTCTTAATACATTAAACCATGCCGACGCAAAAAGTTTTGGAAAAGGTGTGGGCGTGGCTGGTTCATTAAACGCAGCTGCCAGCTGTTATCTGAAACACAAGCACACGCACACACACATGTGCATGGAAAATGGAAAATGGAGAAGGGACTCCCCACTTGATTTATCACATGACAGCAAGTGAAACGTGTCAAGTGTATACAAAAAATGAAAACAAAGTAAACATTAACAGATTCCAAATGAAAAACGCGCACATATTTAACCACGAAAATCCCCCCGAGTGAATCATAAAAAAGAAACGTTCAATGCCATTATTTTAACATGTTTAAATAGTCGTTTAACCGCCACTTTCTTTTTGCTTTAAATTAATGTTTTTTTAATCGAGTCAGGGCAACGTTTGATTAGCACTCAGTCAGATAGAATCAAGCCAAAGCCTCGTTCTCGGTTTTTTTTTATTTTGCTTCGATTTTGATTGATGGGCTGAGGGATAATCTGTTCGTGGCCAGAGCTGCCAGCTGTTGCCTCCTTTCGGAGAATGAATTCTGGGTCACACCCGCCATGAAGTACCCAACTCACCATGTAGCCATCGTAGGTCCAGGAGCCGAACTTCATGAAACATGTCTGCTCGTCGAAGGGAAAGTACTCGACATCAATTTCGCAAAAGGATTTGTAAATGGCGGGCGGTTTCCACACCACCTTGCCCGTGTGATGAAGAATTGCTTTTGTCATTATTGTCACTTCATAGTTGCCATCGGCGCTGCAATGGAAAAACCATGGAAAATATATTGGATTAATATAATAGGTATATAGGATTGCTATTTTGTGATTTAACTTTTAAATATATCACGAAAAGTTCTACCAATTTAGTCGGAAGATTTTTTTGGGCTCCCATTGAAGCTTTTGGTGGGCGATGGCACGTTTTTTCTCCGCCCGAAATCGACTAAAAGTGCCGAACTAATTAAAAATACATTTTAGCTTCTAATTACGAATTCATTTTAGACTGGGAAAACTGCGGCTAATGCTTGGATGTTTGGGTACTGTTTCCCCGGGGAAGGGGCCACGCCCCCCTATATAAGGCATATAGCATCGGCCGCTGCGAACGACGGTCCATTAGCAGCAAGGTCCTTTTTGGATCCTCTGGCTATGGCCAACGGCCAGAGACTCACACTAAATCTAAATCCGAAAGCAAAGCGTTTTAAAATGTTATTACAACAACAGCAGCAGTGGCAGTGGCGGTGGCAGTGGCAGTGGCAGCAGCAACCATTAATGGCTAAAAACCATTTAAAATGGCTGTCGGCAGTGCACACACACACAAGCACACACACACACACACAGGCTCGAGGGAGTGAGATGGAGATTAGGGATGGGATAAGGGGGCGGTGGGGCGTGGGCGGCTGTCTGAGGCGACAGAGAAAGAAAATCAACAAAGCGAACAAAAGTTTATAACCGAAACCAAAAAAACCAAAACCACGCCTGGGGGTCACCGCAATTGCAGCCATTATCTTAACGGTGATTCACACACAGAGTCCACACAGATATACATATATACATGTACATCTATATGTATATGTGTGGGCTTAGAAGCCGGACAACGCGGCGTATGAGTGTCATCGCTGTGGTGCTGGCAGTTATCCTGGCCAAGCCGACGGCGCCTGCCGCGTCTATCAGCGCGTTAATCTCAGCGCCGCACAGCGAGCGCCATCTTTGTATCTGTGCTTCCTGCGCCGTCAAAGTTTTCAGGCCACAAATCGAAGCGGTCCACAGTGGGCCAGATGCCTTGGAAAGTGGTCAGAAATAATCGGTAATATTACTTTGAAAATGGCTTGATGGCAAACTGGAACGGTATCCCAATTACTTGTTATTTAAATTGATTGCTCGATTGATTAGTTGAAGTTCAAGGGTTTCCGCATTGGAGAGTTGGCTCCACTGTACCGTCACGGAATCAAGGGAGTTGGCAACCCGCTGGCGGGCAAGAAAAACTTTTTGCTGACTTTGTTGCCGCTGCTCCCGATTCCCGATTCCCTGGCCATGTCCTTTTCTGCCCGCTTCCCTCTGTCCACCCCATCGCCATCGCCTTTGTCTTGCTTCTCAACCCATCCACCCAACCGCATCCCTTCGTCCTTCTGGTACTTCGCCATGCCATTTTTATTTTTATAAATCTAATGAAAGATAATGAAATTTTATTTCGTTTCTTTTGATTTCAACGCAGTTGTCGTCAGCTTTCATGCTAAAAACTAAAAGCCAACAGCAGTTGAAAAAGAATCATAGATAGGGGATGCCTTGGGTGCGGGGTTGGAAGGATGTGGGTGTTTGTGGAGCAACCTAAACCAGCCAGACCAACCAGACGCCCATCCAGCTACATACAATAATAGAATTAAAGTGGCTGCGGCTCCTGTGCCACTGATTCCACTGTAGCTTCAGCTGTGTGGGTGTGGGTGTGGGTGTGGGTGTGGGTGTGGCTGTGGGTGTGGCCCTTTGGTCGAAGAGCGGGCCTCGCAAAAGTTCAGCTGATAATAAAGTTGTCAACAACATTCATTTAATTAAAGAAAACAAAGCCAAAGCAGAGCACTTTGGGAATAGTACCGAGTGCTGAGTGCACGAAGCCAGATCCACATCCCAATGTGGCCAAAACGGGCGTCCGAACGGGGGAAGTCTAATGCCCAGGCAGAGATTTATGGTATTCAGCTAATATGGCATTTCAAAATGGTAATGCGTTTCGCCCATGACTGAGTTGGTGTGCGAATGTGTTAGTGTGTCGGCTTAGTGGCATTATTATTATTTTTTTTTGCCAAATAGGGCAGACGTATGGGCGTGGTCCTAAATCTGTTTTAAACGCGATGGCCAGAACTATTCCGCACGGCAAATAAAACTTAATGCGATCATTTATACATCACGTTATCAAATGAGATTGTTTATCACATCAAAATAAAACCAACATAATCAAGTGGGGAAAAAATACAAGAACTTTCGAATGATTTAAATCGAATGTGTCGAATATAAATTCATAATCTGTGTCATATGCGCGGAGTATAATATGATGGAATCCTCTTAAACAGCGCAGATATTTTTAACGATTTAATGAAAGCAAATACAAGTAATTAAGTGACACAGAATTTGAGCAGAATGTTGCCGAATTTACTCTGCATGTAGACAAACAGTAATTATTCGGCGCTTGCCAAATAAACTCATATGCGTTATGTGTGTGGCATGACGGCTAACCGAAATAAACCACTAAGTGCGGCCGGAGTAAGCTTGGTTACGGGCTGAATACGGCCAAAACCGAAACCGGGGTCTGGAGTCACTCGAGTGCGATTTTAATATCTTGGATCAACATGAAAATTAATTGCTGGAATTAAGCGGCTTTCACAAATACAAACAGTGCCCCAATCAGTGGGTGGAGTTCGGTGTCTCTTGGCTGCGAGTAATTCCGAGCAGGCAGCCTATTTTAGCAGCTTCAAGTGGATTTCATATTCGCTTGCGGAGTTTGGCTGCCAAATAGCTTTGGTAGTCACGTCTGTCGGCTGTATGCGCATTTGATGGGCTCACATGCGAATGGTGGCCGTATAATTAGGCCGGATCCCAGGAGGCCACTACAAGTTGAGTGGAAAACAAATGCAAGTGGTAATTGCAATTAAAAATTAACAAAATGTTGCAATTTGCTGCGGCTCTGGCCGAAAACAAGACCGAATGCCAGAACGCGAGCAATAAATAACAACTTTTGACGCTTGTTTTGAATTCTTTTGTGGCATTTTCCAGCATTTTGGCCCTGAATGTGCCGCGCTTTTGCAAGGATATGAATGTACGAGTGTGTGGTGCAAATGCCGCACGCAACGCACGCAGGTATTTTTTTGGTTCTTTTTGTTTTTTTGTTTTGCGGTGGTAGTGATGGGCCGGCACAAATTCGGGCCATTTACAAAGGCTGGCCAACTATTTATTTTGATGCCACTGCGCGTTTAGCAGACAATTAAACATTTTTCATTGCATACAAATGGGCGCACGAGGCGCAGGCGATTCCCATTCCGCGGACCGCCACTCACACGCGTGCAAAAAGTTGCATCGTAAAATAGATTGCCATCGTCCTTGTTGCGTGCGTGCCTGCGTGTGTGTGTGTGTGGGTATGTGTAAGTGTGACAATAAACGCGTTTTCCTCCGCCGGCTGCTGCACATGTATTTGCATTTAAAATTACAGCCAGCAAACGCGTCTTTTTTGCACTGCAGCACTTGGCGCTTAATTTCTGCATAAATTTTCATGCCCGCTTGTTTGCTCCAAGGATCTTCGAGCGGAAACAAATCAAACTGAGAGAGCCCAGCAGCCAGGATATTGATATTGACGTTGGACTTACGTTTATTATCCTTGCGGCAACATTAAAAGCCGACAAGATAAATATTCGACTATCATTCGCTTAACTTTTATGAATTTGGCTCAGATTCTCGGCCGAGATTCTATGCGGGGAATGCCATAAAGCAGCCCGTAAGCCATCACCTTAACTTGACACTAAATTAAATGGACTTTGGCCAGCCTTTTCGATTGGCATTTGGAGAGAAAAAGAGAAAAAGAAACGGAAAAACACGCAGCACAATTAAGTGCGTTGAACACAAAGGACACTTCAAGTTCAATTTTATGTGGCAACAAAGCGAAAGCGCTTCATTATGGTGCGTACAAATTATTTGCAGTTTAAAAAAGCGTCCCAACGACCAGAACCCTGGCCATATAACACCCATGGCGTTGTTCGGGTAACACCCGCTTCCAGTTTCTTTAGTTACAATGCTTTTGTCGCTGGCTGGCTGGATGGCAAATGAAATTTAAGCTTTTTCCAAGCAATAAATTACGACTTTTTATGACACTGCCGCCAACGAAACATCCCGAAAGTGTGCTATGCGTATAGTTGCCTTTGCCAAGTCGCTGGAGTACAAAATGTGAGTATCTCCCCTCGTTTCAACACACATAAAGGGCCCATAAAGCGCGTAAGCCGATCTGCCGCAGCAACAACATCAACAGCAGCCATGGCCAAGATATCCTGACCGATGTCCTGGGAAGAGTACTCGAGCAGCTTGGCAAATCGACAAAGTCAAGTGTCCAGGCAACCAAGCCGAGGGGCTACAGTGGGCAGAAGTCCTCAAAGGGATTGCAAAATGAATTTGGTAAGCACAAGGAATCGATAGGGTTGGCTAAGATACATTTCAATAATATTAAGTTCAATTTTAAGGCAAATGTAAATGAATGTTAAAAGCTTTAAAAATTATAAGTTTATATATTTTTGAGCATATTATATATTACAATGTTTCGCTTGAAATCAATTTCATTGATTTTCATTGAATTCCTTTTAATTCCTCGACATGTTCCATTGCCTCTGCATCAGTGGATACATTTCGATCCTTGTCCCCTAATTGGCTTCACTCCAGCAAATTATAATAATTATACCGACCCAACGTAACGTTCAATTTGAGAGCAGTTCGGAGCCCGATCTGTGGACTGGAGGCCAAGAAGGACCTCGCCAGGACACTTAGCCAGCCTCCAGGGAGAGCCGAAAGGCAACCGCAATGCTCAAGTTACATTGAAATAAAAATACGTTAATCATCGCCTGATAAATGGCCTAGTCCGGGTACAGTACAGCTTGGCTTTGATTTATGCCGCCGCCCATTCGGGGCAATTATGCAAATGGTGGAGAGGCTCCAGGCTCCGGACTCCCAGGTTCGGCTCCTGGCTACAGGAGATGCTGGGATGCTGACCGCAGGCGAATCCCGGAGCCGTTGAGCTGGGCGAAAATTAGTTTGGCACTTACTTGTTATAGAGCACAATATCCGGCAGCCATATATGCTCGGAGGGAACGTGCAACGTGTCCACGCCGCCATAGTCATCCGGATTCCATTTCAATTTATAGTCGTTCCATTCCTGAAATGGCAAAATGCACATTGTAAAGCAGTGGTCTACACAACAAAAGATGTCACTATCCGAATGGCAATTATTTATGCCCGATTGCCATAAATAATAGAAAAACAAATGTATATTTGCGGGCTGAAAAATTAGAAAATATCCGCACTTTGAGTGGGGCTATTCAGGCCTTTGGTGTATCTATAAATATTTCATTTTGCGGTTCAGGGCGTTTAACTCTCTTGTATGGCTGCAATTTCAATTTCATTAATTATGCATTAATTCATTGGTCGCTAAGCTGTTGGCATTAAATTACATTTTCATAATACAATTGTGCTTCGATGTTGGGTTTCAATGTTTAAGCACGCATTACTATTTAAGCACGGGGATATAGGTGCTCAACGACCTCTGAGGTGCAAAAATTAAAGTATAAGTTTCACGTAAGCTAAAAAAGATTTACTCTCTGCTATTTTTAAAGTGAATTGAACTTGTTCAGTGGCAACTAACTAAATATTATGTTAGCTGGGGTATCTGTCAGTCGATACGCTTTCATCGGACATCGAACTTCTTTTTCATTGCTCATACGCATAACTGTAATTATGTTGATTGCCACTTTCCATATACATATATATATGTATTTATACGACCACGCCAAGTGGGAGCCATCACACTGGGGATTACCAGAGTTGATATTGGGTTGGGGTTTCATGGTGGTCAACGGAGCGGGAGCACGCTTGCTTTTGTGCTGACCAAGCACGAAATTCCCCGATAATTGCAAATATAATTGCAGAGTGGGATTCCCGAATGGTTTAATATTGATCCGACTTACACACGGAATCGGGTTTCAATTGTCCTTACATGAGTCTCAGCCATTAAATGAAGTAAGTGAGTTACCAGTCAAAAGTGATGTCCGCTTATTGTACAAAAAAAATATAATTCTAGTGCTGAATGATGTTGGTCACAACAAATTCGAATAATATAATATTTTTAGCCCTAATGTCGCTGCTTTCCCACTACAATTATGGAAATGTATGGCTCACTTAATTGCGGTTGGCCACCAGCTTAAATGCAAGTGCATCTGCCCAATACGTTTCCAAATACACAATAGCTTTTATGGGCTACGTGCGCAAGCGTTTGTGGCTTTATTGACAGACTGCCGCCCATTTATGAATGGGCGTGGCATACCACGAAACCAAATGCGAAAACAAATAAATTGCAGTATGATGCATGGCAATTGGTTCCTGAATCCGGCCTTATCTGGCTCTTTATTACACATTATTCGGTTGTGTAAGTGGCAGCTATTATACCAATGCACATGCAGTGAACTAAATGTTCAGCCAATTTACTACCACTTCTTCAAGCCTTAAGTAATCTTAGTCATATTCAGATATCACTTAAATTTGTATAATTTTGTGATTGCGCAACATATTGAATTTTCTCAAGTGTACTTTAAAAAGAATCTTTTTGAATGGCTGGCGAATTCCTAATCGGGAACACGATGGGCCATTCAACATTCAACACACTCTCATCATGAGGACTGAAATGAGCACTTGCATTTGGATTTTGGCTGAAACAAACACAGCTGCACACAATTGCAAATTGCTCGGCAAATGCATAATTTATATATCATTTTGCATGCCGCTTTTGTTATTGTTTTCGGTTTTAGTGAATTGTCAAACCAAATACTTTGGATAAGCTGCTGCCACTATTGACTGCAATTTGTGTGCGAGGAATTTGCTGTGCATGTTTTATGCAAAACCGGAAAACTTTAAAGTCCCTCCAAAAGAGAAAAAAAGATATTTGAAGAGTGTTTAAAAGCAGCTGGGATAAAAGAGGCATTACGGACCAATTGATATTCCTCTGGCTCGTACTTTTTTCGTTTTGATATTTTTTTTGTTTTTTTGTTTCTGGGCTTGTGGCCAACTGCTGCTTGCCGCATTAGTGCAAAGCCAATGGACATGTCGAGTGGCAAGCGCACAGGAACTGGAAGTGGGAGTGGTCCTGGCGGTCCTGCTGGTCCTGCTGGTCCTGGCAAATGGAGCCCGGCCACTTGGCCAACTTAGAAGTTTGGCATAATGCGAGCGCGTCGAAATTGGCTGGCCAAATTATTTTGCATTCGACGGCAGCGAGGCATGCAAATGGCCAATTCATGTTCCCCGAAAGCCAAATCACAGCTGAGCAAACGCAAAATTATTTGTCCAACTATTTCAGCTTGTGCGCGGCTGAGTCATGATGCGTGTATGGTATAAACGAATAACTTACCTGTTCCACCCAGACATTTGTTGTCATAATTTGATTTTTCAGATTCTGCAAGTAAACGAAACAAAGGCATACAGATTTGTTAGTCTCGAGTGTTAACAAGTGTTTCATTAATTTACTGCTGACAGTTTCCACTTCTGCTGAATGGAGAGAGGGCTGGCTGTGTGGCTTTTGCAACAGCAACACCATTGAGTGGCAGAGACCATTAAATGGAACTCGTTGCGCCCGGAAAATGTTGTTTTAGTGAACTGAGCTCGGGCACCTCCTCCACTGCCAACCCAATGCAGCTCTTGTCGCGTAACAAATCTATTTCAAACTACTCCGAAAAGTGGAAGAGGGTGGCTCCAACTGGGGCGAGTGGAATCGAGTTCGTGATGTCGTGAAGTGAGCTGCAGTCTCCTATAACCATTCAGTTTTAATCAATTTATGTGCTAAGCGAGATCATCCTCCCCTGTCGAATAGAGAAACTTTTGCCTTTAACAGCAGCTAAAGCTTTCCGCTTTCTTAAGTGGCCATTGCGGAGAGCCGCTAATCGAACAGAGAATTGTTAATTGGGAAACGGATTATAGGCAGGAAAGTATCTCAAAAAATTCTTCGCAATTTTCTAATTTTTTGATAGCAATAGAAGTAATGGGCCAACATATTTTTATATGTTTTTTATATATCCATTGCTAGACAACCTATGATGAAAAAACCTCTTGAAAACATCAAAGTTTTCCCACAAGTAGTTTTCGGCATTTTTCGTCAAATAATAATCAGATTTTTGGCCAAAACTTTGGAAATATTCGTCCAAATATCGAATGGCATATCTCGATGAACTTGTTATTAAATCCTCAATTGATTTGAGTTAAAATTTGGTAATTTTATTTTTTTGCGATTTTTTGCAAAATTTGATGATGTTACCCCTTACAAAAATTGAAAAAAAATAAAAAAATTTTTTTTTTTCTAATTCCGCTTGAAAGTGATAAAAATAATTGGCATTGATAAAAAGCTGTAAGAAAAAGTTTTTGTGAGGCCTTTATGATCATTTTTTACCAAGTTATATCGAATAGCCCTTCAAAAAAAACGAATTTTAGCCAAAAGTAGTTTTTGGCATTTTTCGTCAAATAATTATCAGATTTTCGGCCAAAACTTTGGAAATATTCGTCCAAATATCGAATGGCATATCTCGATGAACTTGTTATTAAATCCTCAATTGATTTGAGTTAAAATTTGGTAATTTTATTTTTTTGCGATTTTTTGCAAAATTTGATGATGTTACCCCTTACAAAAATTGAAAAAAAAATAAAAAATTTTTTTTTTTCTAATTCCGCTTGAAAGTGATAAAAATAATTGGCATTGATAAAAAGCTGTAAGAAAAAGTTTTTGTTATGCCTTTATGAACATTTTTTACCAAGTTATATCGAATAGCCCTTCAAAAAAAACGAATTTTAGCCAAAAGTAGTTTTTGGCATTTTTCGTCAAATAATTATCAGATTTTCGGCCAAAACTTTGGAAATATTCGTCCAAATATCGAATGGCATATCTCGATGAACTTGTTATTAAATCCTCAATTGATTTGAGTTCAAATTTGAAAATTTTATTTTTTTTTCGATTTTTTGCAAAATTTGATGATGTTACCCCTTACAAAAATTGAAAAAAAATAAAATTTTTTTTTTTTCTAATTCCACCTAAAATTGATAAAAATACTTGGCATTGATAAAAAGCTGTAAGAAAAAGTTTTTGTTATGCCTTTATGAACATTTTTTACCAAGTTATATCGAATAGCCCTTCAAAAAAAAACGAATTTTAGCCAAAAGTAGTTTTTGGCATTTTTCGTCAAATAATTATCAGATTTTCGGCCAAAACTTTGGAAATATTCGTCCAAATATCGAATGGCATATCTCGATGAACTTGTTATTAAATCCTCAATTGATTTGAGTTAAAATTTGGTAATTTTATTTTTTTGCGATTTTTTGCAAAATTTGATGATGTTACCCCTTACAAAAATTGAAAAAAAATAAAATTTTTTTTTTTTCTAATTCCACCTAAAATTGATAAAAATACTTGGCATTGATAAAAAGCTGTAAGAAAAAGTTTTTGTTATGCCTTTATGAACATTTTTTACCAAGTTATATCGAATAGCCCTTCAAAAAAAACGAATTTTAGCCAAAAGTAGTTTTTGGCATTTTTCGTCAAATAATTATCAGATTTTCGGCCAAAACTTTGGAAATATTCGTCCAAATATCGAATGGCATATCTCGATGAACTTGTTATTAAATCCTCAATTGATTTGAGTTAAAATTTGGTAATTTTATTTTTTTGCGATTTTTTGCAAAATTTGATGATGTTACCCCTTACAAAAATTGAAAAAAAATAAAAAATTTTTTTTTTTCTAATTCCGCTTGAAAGTGATAAAAATAATTGGCATTGATAAAAAGCTGTAAGAAAAAGTTTTTGTGAGGCCTTTATGATCATTTTTTACCAAGTTATATCGAATAGCCCTTCAAAAAAAAAACGAATTTTAGCCAAAAGTAGTTTTTGGCATTTTTCGTCAAATAATTATCAGATTTTTGGCCAAAACTTTGGAAATATTCGTCCAAATATCGAATGGCATATCTCGATGAACTTGTTATTAAATCCTCAATTGATTTGAGTTAAAATTTGGTAATTTTATTTTTTTGCGATTTTTTGCAAAATTTGATGATGTTACCCCTTACAAAAATTGAAAAAAAATAAAAAATTTTTTTTTTTCTAATTCCGCTTGAAAGTGATAAAAATAATTGGCATTGAGAAAAAGCTGTAAGAAAAAGTTTTTGTGAGGCCTTTATGATAATTTTTTACCAAGTTATATCGAATAGCCCTTCAAAAAAAACGAATTTTAGCCAAAAGTAGTTTTTGGCATTTTTCGTCAAATAATTATCAGATTTTTGGCCAAAACTTTGGAAATATTCGTCCAAATATCGAATGGCATATCTCGATGAACTTGTTATTAAATCCTCAATTGATTTGAGTTAAAATTTAATAATTTTATTTTTTTGCGATTTTTTTGCAAAATTTGATGATGTTACCCCTTACAAAAATTGAAAAAAAATAAAAAAATTTTTTTTTTCTAATTCCGCTTGAAAGTGATAAAAATAATTGGCATTGATAAAAAGATGTAAGAAAAAGTTTTTGTTATGACTTTATGAACTTTTTTGGCCAATTTATTTCGAATAGGCCCTCGAAAATTACGAATTTTAACCAAAAGTAGTTTTTTGGCCTTTTTCGTCAAATAATAATCCGATTAAATAAATTCAATATCAATTTGATTTGATTTTCTAAGCACATTTATGTAAGTTATAATGGACAAAACCCTAACATATCCCCATATTATCTGGCTCATTCCTAGACATCTCAAGGGAAGCTACTGAATCTGCTCCCTCATATTTCTTTGCACGACGTGGGAAACTCATTAAATGCGGGGAAGCTCAATAGAAAAAATTAGAAAACGATAAAATTGCGGAATAAATCACTTAAGCGTTGAAAAATGTAATTAACGACAGAATGATAATGATGCGGCGTAACTTGTTTCTCGCACTTCTTTCCGCCGCAGAGTCTGGACCTGGAATCTTTTGTAGGATGGGGGTGGAAAACCTCAGGGACCGCGGCAATATGTCGAGGCACGCAGTGTTAATAGATTTTTCCAGCCACGCAACCCAGGCTGCCGACTCACGGATCCTTTATCCTGGCTTCCCCCGGTAATCACCCGCTCAGAGGACTCTTAGTCCTTCTGTGGACCAGACCAGAACAGAGCAGAGCGAGGCAGCCAGCCCGTGGAAAGGTCATTAGGCGAGGGCGACGCGGAAAACCGGCAATAAAACGACAAAGCCAAGAACCAGGCACAATGACTAAGAAAGGCGATGAGTACGGCATAAGGAAGAGATAAAATATGCGGCATCATGGGAGCGGGAAAGCCGAAGGATGTGGAGGATGCGAAGGACACGAAGGGAAGCTGAGCCGGTAGCCTTTATGCTTTATGTGGGGCATCCGTTGCAACCAGTGGCAGAAAGCGGAGCACGTTAAAAAATGGGGAATTACTCAGTTTCAGTAACAGTATCTAAACAGAAAGTAGGGACAGATTACTTTAAATTTTAGCTATGAGCTGGGCTTTGGCATTTCATTATTTATTTACTTTTATTTAAATTCATTCAACCTCCTTTTATTCTTAAATTAAGTAGCTAGAATATTATTTGTTTTGAGCAATTTCTTTCAGTGTGGCAAACGCATCAGCACAGGCGTTGCGCCGCAGCTTATCTCATAAGAAATTGAGAAATTTGCAATCAGGATGCCGACTTCCAGAGTAGTTGTAGTAGTGGTTGTACTTGTAATAGCGGAGGTCCTCGGGCAGTTCGCACCTCGGATTGTAATTGGTGTTGCTTTTGTCGTTGTTGCACGTCTCGCCTATTCGCACTTAGGCGGGGGCAGCGGCAAGGATACAGGACTCTCCCCCAACACGATGCAGGATATACAGCATTTAAATAGCTCAAGCCAACTGCTTTAAGCAGTCGTCCTGCAGCAGGATTTGCATCCTCTGTGCGGGTGTGTGTGTGTGTGGGTCTTTGTGTGTGTGTGACAGGTTTACCCACTCGGGGGATCCGGATACCCAGTTCTGGGCAGGAAGAGGATTGCCCGGTGCCGTGCCCATGGCTTGCCTCACTGGGCTTGTTTGCAATTTAAATCGAATTTCCTGTGTGCAGTAAATAAACTTTGCAAAAGGCATTCCACTCGGCACACAAAAAAGTGTCCTGTGACCACAGGAGCAGCCAGAGCCGCCTTTGAAAGGCGGTGTAAGCTGAATAAGCAGTAAATTAATTTCCGAAAATATCATGAAATACTGGCTTATTTCAGGAGGTCCTTTCTAATTCCGACAATTGGTAGGGGGAAAATGCAAGAGGTCAAGTTAATGCACTTTGGAAGACTCTAACGTGTACCTTGGGTCAGAAAATGTACCATTTTCTGTATATATATTTTTTTTTGTTGGCACCAAAACCCAATTATCTATATATATAATTCCATTTTATTTTACATTTATATTGGCCTAGTACAAGGAGCGCTTGAGATACCTTCTCCTGGTATTTCCAATTAAATTGCAGCTCTGTAAATTCCACAAGCCCTATGCAGCACATTTATGTACCTCAAATAGAATGTGAAAAGTTAATTTGGTTGGGATTGCAACACGAGCACACAAAAGGCTTGGCTTTCCCAGTTGAACACAACCCAATTTCGGTCTCCGTTTCAATTTCCCCAATAATATGTGTAATTTATGGTCAACATGCAATTAACTGGCACGAAAATGTGCAACATTTGCCATTTGAATGCATTTTGGGCGGCCAAATGTAAGCCGCTCTTGCAATGCACCTGCTATTGTGATGGCCAGCCAGAATTGCCCTCCTCGGGCTGCATATACAGTGTGCCTGTCACCTGGTCGAGCAGCAGTTATGCAACTAATAAGCCCAAGCTACCCGGAGCCAAACTCAGCCGTGGATCTGGTGACCGAGGAGCAAGCAGATGGAAAATTGCAAATTTCAAATTCTACGGCCAAAACGCACGGCTGCATTGTAGCAGCCTCCACATACTTTTCAGCCTCCCCTCTCTCTCTCTCTCTCTCTCTCCCTCTCTCTCTCTCTCGCTCTCTCCCTCTCCCTCTCCCTCGTCCTTCTGACAGTTGATTGCAATTTCCAGGAGAACAGAAAAACAAAAAAATGTATACAAGCAGTGATTTCAGTGCGGAGAATTTACAAGCAATTGTATGCCAATAAGGAAAAGAAGGCAACACGTGTGTCCCACAACAACAGGACCAAAGGGGGCGTGGCCGGGGTGGTTGAAGTGGGCGGAAAACGTGGACTGCCACTAGTGGACTATTGCAATAAAAGAAATTCTGCGAATATTTCAAGCAAGCCAGTCAGCAGTCAAGCGCACACAGGGCGGCTGTGCGATATTTCTCTGCACCAGCAGCAGCTCGCACACACAGAAAAGCAATTTCGATATAAGCACCTTATGCCAGATGGCCAGATGCCCCACCACAGTGGAGTGGAAGCAGGCGAAATGGCTTAAAGGGTTGATTTAGCCAAATAGTTGTGCGGTTTTCTGGTGATTTGGAAAGTCGATCGGACCAAATAGCAACTCTATATTGTTAAAAAGCTTTAGCAGTGTAAGAAATAAATTATGAAGATACATAAAAATAAATCTACGCTAAGAAATGGATAACTCAAGAAAACAAGGATGTTCTCCATACTTCCGTGCAATCCCAACAACAGGCCAAAAGAACGATTTATCTTACAACTCCTTTTTTAATTAAACCAGATTTTGCCGAAGCTTGGTGCCAATGTGCATTGGTATGACTCCTTCTGCATCTGACTGCTGCTGCTGCTGCTGCTGCGGCTCCTGTCCTGCATGTCCTTTAGTGGTCTTGGTGCTTAGCGCGTGATTTATAACAGCAGGGGAAAAAATAGAAGCCAAAAATCCGAGCCAAGGAACAGGCATCACAGGGCAGCAGGCAAAGAGCAGGAGCCAAAGCTCAGCAGAGTAAAGGGAGCCAGGGAGCCAGGGAGCCAGGGAGTTGGAACAGAGCTACTGTGTGGCCAACAGCACGTAACTGTTAGCCGCTTCCCATTTCCGGCTGTCATGTGCAGCCACAGCGAGCAGAAGATTGTGCTCCATTTGCCTGGCCAAGCCGATCTGGCCTAGCTGCAATTGCAGCCAAGCTCCTCGGTATTGCCACGTATGCATATACGTATATTTGATATAGGTAAGCCGGGGTGTTGCTTAATTCAAACGTCGATGCCCTAGCAACTGGCAATTGCATAGTTAATCAAGAAAACAATCAACTGGGCCAAAAGCCATTGATTTATTATGCAAACAACCAGCAGCGGGACAATGAAGAGTGGGCTGGCTTAGTTGCCTGGCTTTTTAATCGCCGGGTAAACAGTTATTAATTGTGCGCCGATTGTTTGCTGCGGCTTACACAAATGCCGTTTCCTACTTACCGGCGTTGCGGGGCTTTTGCGAATTAATCTGTTATGATTGTCATTTGATAAGCTTATCATGGAACCACGCCGCGGGATGGGCACACTTGTCAAACAAATGGATTGCTCAGTTTGGGGCATTGTTTGCAGCGCTTGTCTGCCAATTGGCAGACTATTTGGAAAAGGGATCAAGGAGCTGGGAATGTTCTCTCCAATTAAAACCATCAATCTTTTGATAACTTTCCAAAATCTTGGTTAACTCTCTAATGACGCTTTAAGCACTTGCAGCTTTTAAATTAATTTGAAAAAAGAACCAGCTTCGTTGTAACTCTTATTCAACCCTGTTTAACCCCGGACAAAACGCATCCTGAACACCCCTGGGAACTATAAAATTGAAAGTTTTTCTGTTGCGCGGCAACTAACCAGACACAAGCCCCATTGATTTATGTGCGAAACGTGTTATCAGAGGTACTTTGCTGCAAAAAAGGGTCACTTTGCCTAGCACTTACCACATCGATCAGCTGGGAGAGGCGCAGACCCATCTTGACGGTGAGGCGGTCCGAGTTGTTGCCCACGGGTCGGATGAGGCGATTGTAGTTGCTCAGCAGGTCGTCGTAGAGTCGCTTTGCATCTGGGTTGGCCAGGCCGCCGGTGGCAAAGTGTAATGCTATGAATACAGCTGCGAATAGCACGCTACCCATCTTAGGCCAGGTCCAACCCTGGTGTTGGAAATAGAGTAAAAATAAATATGGAAATAAGTTGCGGGTAATGTCTTTTGCCAGTGCGGATTTAGTTCGGCTTGCATTAGCATTATTTCAGTATAAAACATAAAAACTTTCCACTGCAATTGTGCGAGTGCGAGTCGTAAATTTTGCTAAAGTGTCAAAAGTCTTGGAGCTTTGTTCCCTTTTGGGGCACCAGTAGCACCAGTAGCACCATCGTGCAGCCGTAAACACCATTTAATCTTTGGCTCAAACACTCAAGACACCATCGCAAACAAGCATGAGTATGTGTGTGTGTGCGTGTGTGTTTACGTGCGTGTGTGTGTTGGAGCATCCTTCCGTTTCCGGCGTCCCCCTGCGCTCCACGTTTTTGTTATTGTTCAAGCCCGGAGTCCTGCCCACACAATTACCCATATACTACACATCACACACCAGCCACCCACTCAATATGCGTTTCTGCATTTTATGCATAAAAATCCCAGCGTTATGCCAACAGACATTCTGAAGTGCTGTCGTGTACAGCTACATTAGGCGCAAACAAGCAATTATTATCAATTCCTGGGCATTCTGGCCAATTAGAAAAGTGGCCAAGAAGCAGAGATGCAGAGAAGCAGAGAAGCATAGAAAAAGGAACGATATATGTGTACCAGTAAATATTGACCCAAGTAATTGAGACAAAAGCAATAACTGTTTGCTTGGGCAGATATAAAACTGAAATATTTGGCAATGCAACTTTCATGTGGCACAAACAAGGAGTATCACACTGCACACGAAGTAAATGGTTATCTACATATATTTACATATTCCTGAGCAGCTCGATCAATTTTGGCTACTTCGGCTAACTCGGAATGGCCACTTGACCAAGTGGTTTTATGCCGACTCAAGATTTGCCCAAGCAAGGCTACTGTAACTTAAGACTTGAAACTTTTAACTGAAAAACTGTATACTTAAAAGTTTGTTATGCTTAGTTTTAGCCTTTTTCCTCGAACTCCGCAAAAGTTTTTCGCAAAAGATTTTGTGTGTCAGCTGGAAAAGTTTTCCATAATTTGATGTGCACATAGAAAATCGTATGTGATGAATCTGAGGGAGCGAAAAGGAATGTCCTCGGCCAATTACATTTATCAATTTGATGGTTTGGCAACGAGGCTAAATTAATTATGCTAATTTAATGTGTAAATTGTTCGTAATTTGTGCATTGATTCTATAAAAGTGCGGCTCTATCTCGACCCAAAATAAATCAAATCACACACCAACGTCTGCATAATTCAGCACAAAACACGTGTCACTGACCGCAGAGCAGAGCAAAAACAGCAGGGAAAGAAATAATAATAATAATATTAGCCGGGAAGGCAACATGACATGTACACAAAATGGCGACAGGACAACGAACAACCGAACAACGAAAATGGCTGGCATAAACAACGACAACGAAAATGAATGTCATTTCGAGGGCTATTTATGCGCCTCTTAGTTGGCAGATTATTTCATTTTCATTTCCATATGACCATTTATATTTATTTATTATTTATACTCCCTCACACACGCACGCACACCCAATTTTTTGGCCACAATTTGGCTTGCTGCGGCTGTCAACGCTGCGTATGCGCAATATTATTTGCTGACTATTTATTAATATGTACTGGGTGTCAGCTGTGTGTGTGTGTGGGCTTGTGTGTAAACTTTTCGTTAGAGCACTGCTCACCATAAAAACCAGACGATGACGTGTCCTGCCCCGAAAATAGCTCGCAAAGCCATTAATGAAAAATGTAAACTGCAAAACTTTCTCATTGAATGTTTGCTGGCTTTTTTGTTGCGAGAGTTTTAGAAGGACTACGATTGCTGGTCGACTGCACAGTGGACTATTATTCAGTATATACTCATATCAAACATGCATATTAATTTACACGTTTCTCTTTAAAGCATTCAAGCCATATGTAAAATATAGGTGAATATTTCTATAAAACTATAGCTTCAGAATGCCTTTACGGTTCAGTAAAGTTCCCGTGTACACCACTGTTCGCCAGTTTAATTACACAAATGTTTCTTCTCCATTTTGGTTACACGGAGTTGGCAGGATAATGAAGCCAAAAAAGTGACATTGACTGCGGGCCACAATTTTAATTGCAATCGGAAAAAGAACAAAAAACATAGATAGAGGGAAGAGTAGAGACCGGCTTATTGCGGAACGAGCTTGATTTTAGCACAGGCAGGACAAATTCTCAGCTTTTTCGAAAGGGGATCTGTGAAATTAACGCTCGGTGCTTCATCCTCATTTGCGGGGATTGAAGTCCACTACGACCGCGATTAAGTGCAGCAGAAGCAATATGAGCAGCGGTTCAGGTTCCCCGCCAACAGCAGAACAAATTGTTATGTAATTGCCCGATGTATATATATATATAGACGAGATACACAATCCACTGTAACACTGCCGCACAAAGGCAAGCACCGGCATCCTGTTTTCCCGCTTGCTTCCATTTTATTAGCACTTGTTGGTCGCCGGAGGGGCGGAGGAGCGGTGCGGTGGAGCGGTGGTGGAATATAAAAATAATAAGTATCAAAAATAACTGACCAGCTCTATGGCCGTAAAGAGAACGAGACGGACATTGAATGCACTCGACGTGTCCGACGGTGGCTATAATTTCAATCACTTCCCCGGCAAACTGAAACTGCAGCAGGAGCAGCCAAAATGTGGCATTAAAAACACTCGTAAACGTTGCAGGATCGCAGGACTCAGCTGAGCTGAGGGGTGAATTTTAGTGTATCAGCTTCTCTGCTCAATTTTTTCCCTTGTGCTTTTCCACCCGTTTGAGTGCAGCGGGCGAAATTGCAGCAAATATTGAAAGAGAAACTATTTGTTAGCTAGCCGTCAATTTGTTCGTAATGAGCTGCGGCTGAGTCCAAAGTCCAGGCTCTTTGTTGTTGGCCAACTTTTGTTGCTGGTGCTTGTGCTGTGTTGTGCCACAAATGAAAATGTCTTTCAGCGTGGTAAATATTTTATGTCATTTCTGTGCTCGTCTTTTGTGCGCTTACTTGTAGTTGCCTGGGTGCTTTATTTTTGTATTTTTTCTTTTTTCGGTTTTTGCTTCCTTCACTTTGGCCCGCTTGTTGTTCCCTTTTTCTTTTATTTTGTTTTTTCTTCTTCCGCTGGCATTTTTAAGCGCCAGTAAATTTTTTAGTAGGCAGAGCTGCGCAGAGCAACCGCAGCAAAAGCAGCAACAATAACCAAGTGAAGCTCTGCCGGAAACGCCGTCGACGGCAAAATGGCTGGCGAGTCAACTTCCGCTTGCTGTATGTGAGCTGTATGTGTGTGCGTATGGGTGCTCTGGGTGTTGTGGGTGCTGTAAGGGTGTGGTGAGGGTGTGTGCTCTGGGCAGAGGGGCTCCTGCAATTTTCCAGTCGAGTTCGTTTTTCATTTCCGTGTTATTTGTTTTGCATGTGCCACTTCGTCCCTTATCCCATTTCTTTGTTACTCCCACGCCGCCTTTTTCGTTGCATACTTTTGGGCTGATATATTAACATGGCCGCAACGGCAGCTGCCATTTTTGGCATTGTTGCTGTAATTGCTTTTGTCTCTGTGCCCCCGTAATTGAATTTCACTTTTCCCCCTTTCAAAAAGACCCGTCATCATCGCACTTAATCCGTTGGTTCCCCATGCGAATCAACTCGTTTCTGTGCCTGAAAAAGTTGCACTCACAAAAACAATGTATACAACTATAGTCAAGAGTTCTGACCATTTATTCTTTGCAACTGCTCATATTGAATTAAATGCCATACATTTCCACTACCGTAATTAGTGTTTATTTAAGAAAAGCCAGTAGTTGTATTAACTTTCTTTGGGTACTCGAATTCCCAGCCCACTAAAGCCATTCGAGTGTCTAATTTATGCAAATATGTTTTATATAATTGCAGTGGCTTGGTCCTTCGCATTGATTGGCCTGTTATTAGCTGGCTGACTATCTGGCTGAGTGCATTTTTCCGAAATTATGTAAATTTAACTGAGAATTATGTGCAGAATCAGATGCATGCATAATTTATACATATTTTGAAGTCATTTCTTGGGCAATGCTAAAGGGTGGAGCTGTGTAGCTGTGCTCGGAAAATTCATAGCCAAAAGCTAAAAGTGAGCACACAAATCGAATGGGGGAAAGCTTCAAGCCGGGAAGGGAAAAGCCAAAGGGATAGATGTAGTAGGAGAGTTGTATAATCAAAGGAGCGCGCACACACACTGCCGTAATTTGGCTGAAGGTAGTCCAAAATACCTGGCTGAGTTTTTTGCGTGTACTTTTTGTCGGGTAAAAGTAAAAGCTGAAATTTTGTTATTTGAACTTTTGCTTATGAGCGCCCTCAGGTAGCTTGTTAAACATTCTTGGGCTGCCTACATATACACAAATTTATATGGAAGTGTGTGTACATGTTGTGTTTTTTTTTGAGAAACGAGAGGCAAACTTCAACTTGAAACATGAAAATTTGCATATGATAAGCAAATAAGCAGATGTATGCAAGGTAGCTGGGCAAAGTTTTATTAGATTCTTGATTCGTGAATGGAAAAGGGCAAATCGGCGTTGATGGCACGGGTAGCGCGCTTTTGCGGCTTCTTCTGGCCAACGGAGGCTATGAATATGCGGACCGAAAACCTTTGGAAATATGCAAAGCATTTGAAAATTATTTTTGCATAAATAAAGTTGATGTAGTCTCTTGTGTGTGGCGCGCCAAAGGGTTGCAAATGAGCTCAAACATCTGAGCATTAGGTCCAAAGAGGCTTACCAACTATGTACCATTGCACAGTCACTTGAGCAGCGCAAATGATGTGCAAATGTGCGTGAACCGCACACAAATGGTGGAACTAAATCCGTACAATGCGGCGTATGCGCAATATTTAATTTCAAGTGCTGCGAGCTCTCACACGCACGACACACACGCACCTAGACAAAGCTAATTTTCGCTCAAACTGAGGGTGAGTGAGTGTGTGTGTGTTGCGGAGCGTGTGTGTGTGTGGG